TGTACTCAAAGGAAGGGTAGCTTTCGGCTTTTAAAGAGTTTCTAAATTGCCGAATAATTTTGAAACGTAGTGACCGCTGCACTAGAATTAAAGGTTTACAAACTCCGCACTGTGTACTTCCTGTTTAAGGAAAAGAACGCTTTCGCCTATAGCTTGAGGAAGCCCTCACATAGTTCTCATAAAATGTTGCAATAAATATGGAGCATGCCTTATACAGTAAAGGCAGCATTAACAAATTGACGGATACCATGTTCTATGAATGAACACCTGAAAATTGTAAAAAAGCTCAAAATTAGAAATTTTTTAACACTGAAAGACACCTTTTTGTTAAGTATAAACTTTGAAGGCGTAATTTGTACCAAAAGAGTACAAGAAATAATTTTTTCGTGCATGTTTTCCATAAAATATATATAAATTTATAAAGGCAGTCAAAATCAACAACAATAAGGCATACTACTTAAGTAGGCACTTTTTATAGTACATACTTTTACTTATCGGTCAGAAAGAAGCTCATCAAAAAGCCGGCATCCTTAAGTGTCCAAAATATGTTGAGATTAGGCTATATTCTCATCTCTATTACAACCATCCGCAATTAATATGTTCCAATCGAAAACTCATTCAGAATTCCGGCTGCCATTGCATGAGATAGTGAATCTACTGCATGCCCAAAGAATGTGCGCCAAAGAAAATAGACTTTCTAGGCATTTTCGGAAGTGCAAGACACTGAGCAGATTTTGGAGCTTGAGGGACCCCATTGCGCACTAAATTTGGGCGCAGATTTGTTGTATAATTAAGGTGCACGACAGATCGCAGAGGCTAAATTGGTAGCTAACATTCCTCTGTGCCTTTGCTTTTTGAGCTTATGCAGTTTTCATATTGACGAGATCATTACGCCGCAGTCCTATTTACCTACTGGGTGTGAACGTTCGCCCGGGTGCCTTACAAATCAGCGTGAGCTCATATGCCTCTCTGTTATGCGTGTTGGAAAAATAGGATGGATGTCGGCTACTGATACAATTATATGAATAGATTACTAGAATATACTATCCGTCGGTCATAGTGAGTCACATTACTAGAATTAGCACTCTTAGCAGTTCAGAAGAACCCTATCTACTCTTAGCAGTGCCACATTACCTCTAGCAGCAGGATCCTAGCCTAAACTTCGTAAAATGTGACACAGCTTTTGGTGGACAGATGTGGGAGGGCGGCAACCAAGGCAAGCCTTGATCTACTCCGGGCCTCAAATATATATTTACTCGGAATAGAATAAACCCCAGATTCACTCTCCTTGTTGAGATCGAAGTGATGTGAGCCCCAGCGTTGATATTGATCAGCGACACCTCTGGCAAATACTAACGTCCGAAATAGTGCCTGTATTACTAACACTCAGCTACACTCCTACTTAGAAGTAGTAGTAGTAGCAGTACTAGTAGCAGTAGTAAACAAAGCGGTAGTAGTAGAATTAATAGTAGTAGTAGTAGCAGTAGTAGTAGAAGTAGTAGTAGTAGTAGTAGTAGTAGTAGT